ATGTTCTTCCTCGATTGGATGTAGATGGGGAATATGTTAATGCACATGATGGTTGTTTGGTTAAATTTGATAATACCTACTTTATGTATGGTACAGTTTACGGTGAATGTCATCAGTCTACGACTATTTGCGATGGTGTATGCGGTTATATAAATAACACTTTTGCTTTATACATTTCACCAGATCTTGTCAGTTGGACATTGATCAATAATAATATTGTACCCGAAGTCACCAAGGATAATAATTACATTAGTTACGAAACCAGTCCAAAAAGACGTATGGCGAAAACAAAAGCGACAATCGAATATTCACTAAAAAATGAATCTAAAAGTATCGTTTTCAGCAGAAATTGAAATTTCGAGTAAACTGGTGTAAAATGTTTTACAATGTGTGGTTATGCTTGTTTGTATGTCTGAAGGATAAGCATGAGGCTCACATGGCAAACTAATTTACTAAGTACCGGCTGTTTATCTAATACTACGAGTAGTTCACGTACTAGTAGCCGATAATGTTTTGAATCATTGGAAAAAATTTTCCAATTCCCTCAGTCAATGACATGATTCACCTGAAGCTTGTGGTTATATAAAAAAATGAAATCTGTAGCTGCTGTCAATACAATAATATTTGTTATGAATGAAAAGAGCTGTCATATTGTATTCGCAAGGGATTCTGTACTCGCTGAACCTCCTTAGACTTCTTTTCTCTTCAGACACCCTTGAAGACTGTCCGTCTTGGATGCCAAATGTTGGTTATAATCGTCATACTAAACTATATGTAATGGTCTATTGGTCGAGTAGATATGGATTTCAAAATTCTCTTGTTCCTCTTGCTATTTCTGCGTCACCCTTGGGTCCTTTCGTGAATGTTCAGCCGTTGAAGATGCAAGGAGGAATGGTAATTAGTGATACTACTAGTCTATTTGTTGATGATGATAATACAGCTTATGTTCGATATAATACACGTGATGCACCTTTGAAACATGTGGTTGAAAAACTTTCACCAGACTGGATGACAAGCACTGGACAGTTCTCTATAATTTTCGAAAAACAAGATTATCCCTGGTATGATGGCGGTGGAATGTTTAAACGGAAAGGAATTTATTATACAATGTTGTCGTTCGATTGTTGCTTTTGTCAATGGGGTTCAGATGCACGAACATTTGCAAGTACTGACATTCTAGGTAACTGGACCTTCGTCGGTCAGTTGAATTATTGCGCTGATGGAAGAGCCCCACCTGATCATGTAACCGATATGAGTATAAATCCATGTTCAATCAATGATCCATTTGGTACAAATTTCACAGTTCCTGCTCAACAGTTTAATGTGGCTACTTTGCCAATATCGTGCGAAGAAACTTTGTACATGTACTACGGAGAAAGGTTTCGCTCTAGTACAGATGGATTAAAAGGTCATGATTTTCAAGCTTGGATACCAATAGAATTTATGGACGATGACAGTTTACTGCCTATGACGTTTTATGCTAATTTCACTGTGAATATTCAATAGGAACTCAACACAAAACTCGTTTAAAGAAATCTTGATAAACTGTTATTCTATTCTATGATTGTATGTGATGGGATGCTGCAGTTGTAATGTATCACTGCTATACCAATTTTCACTGAAATTCTAGCACAAACTTAAAATCACAGAATAAATGAATGGTTTTCACCATCTTTTCTTAACATAGTGTCTAACGGTTTTTCATCGATTTTTGAAAATTATGTATGTTTTTGTTCTTTTTGCAAAGGAATTATTTAAAAAATGAAGTGTTTTACACGGCAAGTGCACAGCAGTTTCTGGGTTAGGGGAGAACGAATGAAGATAAATAAATCCTTCCAATTCTTCATTAGTTAATTAAAATTAGGGAATTTCCCGGCCTACAGAATGATATATAAAATATTCAGAAACAGGTGTAACTAGATAGATTGGAAATACTCGGTGGCATCTCAGCAAACCGGTAGGTCAGCATTTTTCAGGCCTATGCTATCTATCTATTTTTGCGTTAACTACTCCACTTCATATACCTTTTGATAGAGAATTTCACTCTGGGACACTGTATCTCACTCTCCTACTTAAGGTATATTCGAATAAAGTCCGATTATTAAACATTCGTCAGCGGGGTGCAAAGTTGAAAAAATGACACAAACTACCTGTCGTGTGTAAAATAATTGTATAAAACGGGTGGTGCATCCTTAGAGTCTTTTTTATCAGACCTTTTCCTTGAACACACGAATGACTACATAAGTCAATGAAGTGTTTCATATAGATTATTCTTTCACAACCATCACGTGGAATAGTTTCTACCTTATCACTAATTTTTCTCCAATTTCATGTATCAAAAATGTAATTCTTTTTTGCAATTAATGTGTAATTTAATATATGCATAAAAGCTGGAGTAATCAAAAATATCTGGGCAAATTTCATTTCCATACCCATTAATTAATCAATAGCACTAATATACCATTACCTAGAAAAAGCATTATAGTCTATCTTTATACCAAATAAATAATATTTACTATTTGAGTCTAAGTTAATATTTCGGTAGTCTGGGTTTTTTCTACCAGACGACAACAACAACTTTGAATTTTCACGCAGAATGGTCATCAACTATGGTGACAAAGCGGAATAAAGGAAGATAACTTGGGTAAGTACGATTGTTTTACTCTGTTTTTGAACGAGACTAGGAAGCGTTCTCAGTGATGGAGATATTTCCCGTCCGGCAGGTTAGACTACTAAAATGATGAGGAGTGTAGGCATATTGCAGAAAGATCGGGTTTGTTGACGGATATCTCTGTGGTAAGAGATTTCGAAAGTAAAATGATGAAATGATCTAAAACCATTTTTAATCAGCAAAACAGCAGATGTATAGTAAAGTCTGTCCTAGTCCACCTCGGCCCTAGTCAGTACCTATATACTCTGACGAGACTTAACAGATTGACGCTTAAAAGAAACGCTTTTCACAAAAGTTTTTGCCCAACTCGAGTGTAATTCCATAAAATTCTACATTTAAAAGCATTAAGAGTATATTCCAAAAAAATCTTTCATTAAAATTCTGAACTATCTCTTGAAGAAAGATACTGGAATTATCATGCTCATTTGAAATACATATGTCTATCTTAGAGCGATATTACTCAACTCTCAAGAATTTGACCTCCTTATACGTTTCGTTTTTCATGATTTTTATCACGAACTATGATAGCTAGTGACTTCTAATTTTCTGTGGTCATAGCTGTTACCGAATGCTGATCACCCACCAAGTTTGGGCCTCTTTTACTAGATGGTCCGTGAGATATAGTGTTGTTACTGCTTTTCCGTAAAATGCTGATAACTTCTGATCCAAGAGAAATGAAAACCTTTTCTTTTTACCAAAATGTACTCCTGATCCTCCTCTATCTGCGAATATGAATTCAGAATGATAGCTGTTAATGGTTACTGAAAGACAAATATTTTACGATCGAGGCCTCCGGAAATGAAGTTCTGAGGTATAAGCGAGATAGCAGAGTTGAATTTAGCCCGTGGATAAATTTTTTCTCACAGTGTATAAATAAAAAAACTCGGTCACTCGGAGGCTATAAAAAGGGTGTTATCGCATTACCTTAACTTTGAGCTGTAGATCCCCAAGAATTTGTCGTCGTTTCACAGTTCTACTTTTCGATAGTGTCGAAATTTCTCACTCGAAATTCAACAGTGTCGAAAGCCTGTCAAATTCGAGTGAAAATTTTCAAACAGCCTAGAAATTCGACAGATTTTTCACTCCACTTCTCTACTAGAGAAGCAAAAGCGTAAACACGTAGAGACCTAGACAATCCCTCTCACTCTCATACCCACCCATCCTATCTTTGCGATTGTGCATCTAGAACGTATATATCTAAAATCTCGTAATATATGAATATCAGTCAAACAATTTATTCACTTTTAGAGGCTGTTGAAATTTGTTTGTATTCGATTTTCGACACTGTCAAAATTTTTCAATGGAAATTCGACAGGCTTTCGACAGTGTCGAATTTGGAGGAAAAATTTTCGACAGGCTACAAAATTTGACAGTGTCGAAATTTTTTTACTCAAAATTTGACGCTGTCGAAAACTGTTTCTGTCGAACTACGAAATTACCATCAGCAACCATACGTTCCATTAAAATTTTGATCATATATTTCAGTAGTTCCAAGGGGTAGCTATTAACTGTCTATTGAACATTCTCGTCAATACTGGATACACTTACAGACAATAGAAACTTTTCAACAGCTACGGAGAGATACTTTCATTTTTTGTCGTCGCCGTATTAAGCGTGTACTCTGAACGGTAAGTGGTACGAGAAAACTGTTTATATTACTTATAGCGTCCATCAAGATGTATAAAATAATGGAACCTTTGCTTTTATTTCTATTCGTATGTGTGAGGGAATAAATTTTTTATGTTGAAAATGTGTCATCGCGTTACATGCGGACTAGCCATGTACTTCTTTCGCCGCAGGTTGTCGCACTACTGGCAAACACCTTAACCACAAGTACGATGTATTTTTACACATGTGTGATCGTCTTCCACTGAAGATCTAGGATAATTCAAAAATCTTGCATGCAAAAGCGCTATCAAACATCTTTTTAAGACCAGTGAACAAAGAAAATCGAGCGGAAAGAATAAGAAGAAGAAATGGGATTTCAGTACTGTCTTATTGCTAATCGTTTTTTCACCTTACAACTTACGGAAAGTTGATATTTTTCTATTATTTTGAATTTCTTGATCTTTTTACGATATCTAAAGGATATTCTCGATTAATTATTACTTTGTACGAATTTCTGCAAAGTGCTTAGCACGGACATGGACCTCTCATGACTCTCCTATGTTATACATAGTATCTCAACGTACAGAAAAACAAAATCAATCTCGTCTTACGTTGAAGTTCATAATGATTAACGATAAAAGATAATTATTTCATTATATAACAGTATGCTTGCTAATGATTTAAACCATTGTAAGAATTTTTTTTTAAAGTTTTTGAAGGATATACTGCGTGACTTACCAAAACAAAACGATGATTATGAAAAAGGCTAGCTCTGGTCTTGAACCTGATCAGTATCTGTTGCTCAGAAAATACCAAGATCAGACAAAAGAAGTCAAGCTCAGACGAAGTATTTACTGTTTGCCCGATCAGTAAGGTTCAGCTAATGCAAACTTACAGTGGAATTTATTTTTGACTTTATTATACATATTCAGATTCAGTTTAACGAGCTGATTACGAATAACATCTTCCGAGCCTC